GTGTAACAAAATACTTTATATGCGTAAAATAAAAAATTAAGAAAATAGTTTTTACGCGTAAAAAATATTTTTTTACGTGTAACAAATAGTATTTTACACGTAAGATAAAATAGTATTTTACGTGTAACAAATAGTTTTTTTACGCGTAAGAAATCTTTTTTACACGTAAAAAATAGTTATTACGCGAAATAAAGAGTTTTTTACGTGTAACAAATAGTTTAGTTTTTTAGTAAAAAATATTTTTATGCGTCTAATAAATAGTTAGCCGTATTCAGCTAGTATTATTATAAGGCTAAAATGTCCATGTCCATTAATATCCCTGTTATTATAAGACTATTTAGCACAGACATTTTTGAAAATTTAGAAATATCTTCGATTTTTGATAATCTCACATTACTTTTTATCAATTACAATAAAGATGCATTATAAGGTGCATTACCATTAGTTGCAATATTTTTTGCAATGCAATATATCTTTTGAAAAATATAATATTGACATTATTTACATATTTGCAGTAAGAAAGCCGCGAAAAAGGAATAAATAAATATTAGGCGTGTTTAGTGTTTATTCGGCCATTATTTAGAAAAGTGTTATAATACTTACATATCAACTAATAGAGATAGAAGCCAAAAATTAAATCTCTATAATTTTGGTCCAATCAAATACCTACAGATGTTCCTTAAAATAATAGGTATATTTTGGACAGCGACCGTTTAAAAATTCGTAACGGTTTTCATTTTTTCGCGGAAAAACAAAAAAAAACAAGGCAAAATCATCGGCCGAAGAGGCTTGAAAAGGCCGACGCGATCGGGACTGAGAGGCATCGGTCGCCGCCAAGTCAGTCACCCAAAGAGCAGAGGCGTAGCGAACGGGGTCGGAGAAAGGAAACTTGCGACTTATTGCGACCAGGATCGCCAGTGACAGACCTTGAATTCGTAGCAGAGATCAATTTAAAGTCGGAGTCAACTACTTTTGGATATTTTGAATTTTGAACCATTATTATTCCTGAAAATTAATGTTGTCTTTAAGCTTGATTTTCATGCATCCGTTGTCCGACGATACGATGAATGAAGAATGTTTAGGAGGGCAGTTAATCACCGCGACCTTATAGATCTATTGTGTGTTCCCCTTTCTTGAGTTACAACGAGTTATAACTCATCATACAGTCTCAGGGTTTTAACAAAACCCAATATCTGAGACGACACTCCATCCTCGATATCAGCCGTACCAAAGTTCATGGCACGAATGGTCGTCGTCTCGGCGCACTCAGTGATAAGGTGTTCTGGTGTTTCCCCATTTTCCCCACAAAATCTGCATTCGCCGTTGTTTCTCAGTTTCAGCCTACTGAGGTGTACGTTGAGGAGACAGTGTCCTGTTAGAAACCCCGTGACAATCCGAAGATTGTTTTTACTTGAATCAAGGAAAACCTTTGATTTTTATCGGTCGTAAGTTCTGAGGACCTTTTTCGAGTGTCTTAGACCGTTGGAGGACACCCATTCCAAGTTACGGATGGAGTCTTCCAGATTCTTCAGTTCCGCTTTCCAGTTGCTTCCCGTTTGTAAAACAGAACGGTTCTGGTCCAGTTAGTGGAGTGTTCGCTCCTTTCGTAGTTAGATCATTTGCCTTTTCATTGCCTTCTATCCCTTGGTGAGCAGGCACCCAGAGTAGGAGGACTTTATTTTCTTTGCCTAATTTGTTGAGCTTCTCTAGGCATTTTTTGACCAACTTCGAATTGATGGTTACTGACTTGATCGCGTTAAGTCCTGCTTGACTATCGGATAGGATGGCAATTTCCTGTTTTCGATAGTTCCTATCTAAGATAAATAGTACGTATCTTTCGATAACGTAAATTTCTGCCTGAACGATACTGGGGTAGATGCCTATTGGCTCAGAGTATTTAGTTTTTGGCCCAAATGTTCCTATCCCTGTCTCTGTTGGTTTTGGAAGCATCAGTATACCACACGTTATGGTATGGTCTTTTATATGCTGAGTAAGCGTTTCTTTCTTCCAATCCTTTTTATTACTCAATACTACAGTGAGGTGTTTCTCAAAGTTGTAAATTCTTTTGATATGTCATCCATGCAGTGGGAGTTGGAGAAGTGGAATTTTCTTTTTGAGAGTGTTCCAAGCCCCTGACCTGAAAATTCTTCCAGTACTGTTTCCGTCAATGACCATTCTAATCATTGTCGAATTGGCATAACTACCGACGACAATGTGCAGTGGTGTTAGGTCTAGAATGACCTCCATTGCTGCTGTTGGGCATGTTCTCATGGCACCTGTGTCCCAAGTACTTCCGAAGATTTTTGGAAAACATTGTAAAAAAAAACTTTTCTAAAAATTTCTTTTAGTTTCCTAAAGATCTCAATGATGAGGCTCGAATTTGGGACACCCTGTAAATCTCAGTTATCGTTATCAATGTTGAGTATTAAAATCGTATTATATGTTGCGTTATATTTTAAAAGCATATTATGACCTTTTAAAAGGTGGGGTATAGCTTAAAAGAATGATAATCACTGCTTTACCGCATTGGGATAACTGATTTTATATGATATAAAAAGTCCTGTGAAATGTGTTATGCCTTGACAATATGGCGAAGGGATATTTTAAAATCTTTTTGATATTCCCCTATTTTTAGAAGAAACGCTCAGGCAATGCCGTCTCTAATAGAACAGCCTTCGGGCAAGATTTATGACGTCACGCTAGTTAGATACTACGGATTAATGAATATGTTGTAGAATACATGGAAAACATAATTATTCCTTAGATTTTTGGTTTGTATTTTAAAAATGATATAGTTTACATGAAATATACATTATATACAGTTAATAACTACAACATATATACCTATTTATAGTAATAAATACTTTGGCAAATAAACTATGAACCATACAAATGCAGCTAATGTTTTACAATATACAAATAATGTATAGGTACATAAGATATTGGGTAAAATGTAAATAAATTTTAAATTTTGGGGTTTGAAAATCGATCTAATTTAACAAAAAACATTCAATATCTACTAATAAATAAATAAATAAATGCCTTTATTGTCAAAAAATTTTACAATTTGTAGACAAAGGTAAAATAAACAAACAAAAACTTAATTTTGTATTGCAAATATACCAATTTTATTGTTATTTTATTCATATTGTATTCAGCCATCACTTAAATATTTGATATTAATTTCCTATTATAAATAATCAACACTATTCAGTAAAAATTACTGAACAAATATATGTTATGCTTTACATACATTATATTATCAAACAAAAACACATTCTTTTTTTAAACTTTATCATTCTTGTCTTTACAAAAATCTTTAAGACAGTTAAGTTTGAACTCAAAATAATAATCTTTTTCATGATCTTTAATACACCATATATTCTTTATTTTTCCCTAGATCATAATACCTACTTACGTGTTTATCTTAAGGTGCGTTTAGACTTGAGCACGCACGCACTGATCCTCCGCGAATGCTCAAGTGTAAACGGCTGTGCGCGCACGCTCACTCTGAATCTGACTGTGCGCGAGCAGCCGCGAACGTGAGCCGTCTGGTGTCGGTTTTTGGTCCGTGCTCAAAGGGATTTTATGTGTGCGCGAACGCTCAATTTGCACCGGCAATTTGTTTTGTCTGCGTTCGTGCGTGCGTATGTGATTTTTTTTCGTTTCCTTTATTAAAATTATGGAGTGGATCAATGAATCTTCGTTATTATTAATTGAAGAATATGAAAAGTTGCCTATATTATGGGATGTTAAACATTCTTTGTATTATTAAAAAACCAAAAAAAAAACGCATGGCAAGATCTTGTAAATAAAATTAATATTGAATATGTCGATATTAATGAAATTGCTATTCTAAAATTTGTATCTTTTGTTCGTAATTTTTGGTGTTATTAAATTTTGTAAATATTCTTATAAATATTTTGTATATAAGTCGGGTCTGGTTATTCTTGTAAAGTTTTTGTACTGATCATAGCCCTCCTCAGACACTAAGTTGTTGCAGTAAATTATATCGATTTCTAAAAATTTGGGTTTGCCCCAGCGACGATGTTTTCGATTTTTCTCCTTTTTAATAATTAAGCTGTGCATAACAATGACTGCAGCAGACTATTTCTCGGTCGTCCATTATTTTCGCCAACACAACTCTGCGGTGCGCGCACAAATGTATCACTTCATTCGTCGAAAAATAAGTTTTTAATTTGAACGGAGCAGAGAGCGCGAACGAATGCCGTGCGCGCACGCTCAGCTCGTGCGAGCTCAAGTCTAAACGCACCATTACGTGTTTGAACCTATCAAAGCTGAACCAACAACACTTGGATTGGAGATTCCACAATATGAATAAAATAAACATAATTGGACAATTTTCTTTTCAAACTGGACAGTTTTCTTTAATACCATCCTGGAAGAATATTATTTTTAAATTTATTAAAGATATTTTCAATAGAATTGTCTTAATTTATAACTCGTACCCACTTTTCTTTCTCTTCCGGATACTTTAGGCTGCCTAGTATAACTATCCTTTCCACTAGGAACACAACAAAGATGAGGCATAGCACCAAAAACACACTCCACTTAAGCTTTATTGATGAATTATTAGAGTCTTAAAAAACACACACAAAAATCACGATAAATAAAAATTTATGGGCACTTTTAGGTTAAAGCACTTAACAAAACGTGTAATATTTCGTGTTTTTTTATGAGAAACAGAGTGACCATCATAGTAACCATATATCTGATAGTACTTTATGTCACTTAAACACCAAAATAATTAGTTTTTTGCACTACAATAACAAATAATACCAAAAATTAACCGACAAAGTATAAATACAGAATCTAACCCAATATCTAAGTATGTACAGCTGATGAAGTAAACAAAAGTCCGCCCGTTGGCTGATCTTTTATAGAAGGCATTGGCTCAGGATCTCAGGATATGGCAACATTGAGCGTCAAACTAGGCAGTAAACAGCTGATATATTTTTTGACAATTCAAGTGTCTGAAAAGTAAATAAATACAAAAAGTATATTCTGTGATACAAAACTTATCCAGAGATAAGCCGAAAACTTTGCCATTTTTACGGATTATATTGGTTTATCATAAAGCTTTCTATCATTAGTATCGTAGTTTAGTTAATGATGTGATTATTATCAGTGTGATAGTATTTAGTATTGTCAAAGTTATTTAAATACAAGAATTGGATATCAAGATGATTTCAAAGGCGTTACTTTTTAAAATCTTTCTATTAATTTTTCCTATTACCGTGTATTTTAGTAATTTTATTCTACCAATGAGTGGACTGGCCCTTATTTCAGTCTCACTATGTGTATGTTTTGTTTCAATGTGCATTACCTTTGTGGGTTTACACAGACTGCTACAGTATAAAGAGCCTATACCTGTCCAATTTTTTCAAGATTATATGCGGTATCTTGGCGTCCGAATATCTATTCCTCAGAAAAAACCAATACCGAAACCAAACATTGATTCCGTTAAGAAATTAACTTCTGAATTAGATACATATTTTATATCTAAGTGGTATGTCGATATAAGTAAGGATTCAAATTTTCCTAATGAAAGCAGAGCATTTATGGAAGAAGTATTAACTCGTTTAATTGATGTTCAGTTGCAAGTAAATAATAAGCAAGTACTACATGGAGTACTCAATATATTCTTGAGACACTTAAAAGAATTTAGACGAAGCGTTAAGAGAAGAGAAAAATATAATTGCGCAATAGAGGATTTATACAGGTAATGCTTGTTATTTATACATACATATGATGATAAGAATGAATTTCACTTATGTTTTTTAGATATTCTCATCTATGTAGTACACTAAATATTAAAAAGCCCAAAGATTATTTCTTACAACAACTTACAATAAATCTTTTGAGACATTTTATTAATTCAGAACTATGGAATTCATTGCCATGCCATATCTTAGTTTCAATACTTGCAAGAAAATTCATCTGTTATTTAGTAGATTTGTGTTCCGATCCTGAAGTTCTAAATTACTTAATATTAACCAACGTTTCTTCGAAAAGCGTTCAGGAAAAATTAAGATTGAAAGAATATGGGAGAATCTCTCTAGTGCAGTTTTTTGATACAGTTGACAGTAAGACAGTAAATATAGATAATATGGAAAACAAAGATGGAATTGATGGCCATGATGTAATTGGAAATACAGAAGTTAAACCTCTAGAAAATGAAACAGCAGCTGATGTTAAATCTGAACCAATCACTGAGCCTTCAGAATCAAAACCTAAAGAAGTAAAAGAGGACACAAGTGATAAAATTGTTTATAGAATTAAACCAAAAAGTCATATACAAAAGGTATACTTAATTTAATATACAGGGTTATTCACCTTGTTTGACACGGAGTATTGTAGCCAAATGATTAGGTTTTTATGGTTTTTAGAAATTATGAGTGATGCTAAAAGATACAGAGTGTCCCATATTATTAAAATATCTCAAAGTTGTATTTTTTTAAATAGAACACCTTGTATATTATTACATTTTTAGTTTATATGGTTAAAATAAAGGTAAATTTGATTAAGGTTAATCCTACTTTAAGCACTTAAAGTTTTTAAAACTAAATATTGTAATGAAGTTTTTCTTTTACTAAATTTTGTGTTAATGTTACTAAATTTTGTGTTAATGTGTTTTGTGCAATAATAAAAATTACACTACCGTATACAGACTGTCTAAAATGTATTTTTAATAATTACTAGCTTTAAGCAGCAATAACTTGTTGAATTTAAATGGAACACTCTGTATATTTTACGAGAATCAGTATTTATTAACTAACACTAACAATCAATTATTAACTTACATAATTAAGTATGTATTTAATTAATATTTGGGCGGAAATAATGGTGGTATATTGGAATACTTCTTTTACAAAGATTTAAATACTTATTTTTCTTTTTGTAAACAAATAGGCCAGCAATAATATTATCGTTTTTAGCGTCTGTTCATTTTGTTCATTTGTTGCTTTAAAAAAATATCTAAAATGTCAATATTCCATGGGTATATTGGTAAATGAGGTCTAAATTATAAGAAAATGCATTTTCTTTGAAAACTTGAAGAAATAGGTAAAAAATGGTATAATACAATTTGATAGACAATTAAATTGTGCATCTGATACACATAAAATATACAGGGTGCTCCATTTAAATTAAACAAGTTATTGCCGTTTAAAACTGGTAATTACTTAATATAATTTTTTAGACATTTTGTATAAGGTAGTATAATTTTGATTAGTGCAACACAAAATTTAGTAAATAGAAAAACTTCAGTACAATATTTGGTTTTAAAAACTTAAATATGTTTAGAGAAGTGAAGCATTAAAATTGTTACTGCATTTTCATTTTTACAAAATCGTAGATATTTCAAAAACGGTAAGATTAAAGTGCGGTAAATCTTTACCTTTATTTTAATTGTAGAAACTAAAAATATAATAATATACAGGGTATTCTATTTAAAAAATACAACTTTGATATTTTTTACTTATTTGGGACACTCTGTAAAAGGGTTTTAAATTGTAGCTTTAGTAGTTCCCCATCGATCCCATTACTCACAATCTCTAAAAATCTAATCGTTTGGATACAGTACTCTGTGTCGTATGAGGTGAATAATCCAGATAACCTTGTACCGTATGATCGAGAAAAAACGGCGTCAACGATGGCTATGAAATGAAGATCGCTGTCATTTTATATGTAAATTTATATGGGAAATGTCATTAATCGTCATTTTCCAGCCAACTGGACGCCGTTTTTTTTTCGATCATACGGTATATTACCTACATTACAATAATTAAAGTATTTTACTAAAAGTCTTCTCTCCATAGGATACCATTACAACCATTCCAAGATCACCAAAGAAAACTGATTCCGTTAAAATCTATGAGCCAAAAAGTACTTCAAAGACATGGAGAGATTCCAGAGATTTGGCTTGCATATCACTCGGACAAGATCCTTTGGATGCATTAGCAACAGCTACTGATGGTTCTAGTAAAAATATTAAACATAATTTTTGGGACACTGCAGGTATGTATTTTTTCATACTAAAATTTACAAAAGTGTTTCATAGTTATCTTAAAATAAAAAAGTGCATGCGTTCTCAATAAGCAGTGTTGCCATTCTGTCCCTTATAAGTAACTATTCAGTTAACAACCTGTATATACTCTGAAACCTCAGCCCGCTCGTCGATAGATGACGCGACGCGACGGGACGAATCGGCAGAAAAGCGCCTATAAGTCAGGGCCGTATCTAGACCAAAATTTCGGGGGGGTTGGCTTGGATGTGGGGGGGTACAAAAGCTGCTAGGAAAAAAGCATAATAAAAAAATCGCTTTGGGCTACACTCAAATCTTAATTGAAAATAAAATTTTAAAAAAGTAACAGGTAAAAATTATTAATCTTAAAGGATAAACTGGTCTTTTCCCTGGAAAAACGATTGACTACCTCTTCGATATCGATATTTATTTCTCTATGTACGTTTAACAGAGCAAGTCCTGTCAATCGCTCCTGATCTGTAGAGTTACGTAGGAAGTCCTTCAATCGTCTTATGCCGCAACCGCACATGTGACATTTAGCGAACTCCGAGCGCTCGTCAACTACCGAACGCTCGTGATCGGACTTCGCCTTTTCATCCACACATGCGGGCTCTGATAGCAACAACATAGAGACGAGCGCTCGTTCTCGTCGCCGAACTCTGACTTCCTCATCCATACACATAGGAAATCGGCGAAGCCCCGATCGGAGATCGCCGAATACCGCATGTGCGGTTGCGGCATTAGGGTTGAAAAAGACCTTTCTGGTGTAGCTGTTGACACTGGTAGACTTTCTAGGATCATTAATAAAATGTATATATTTGGAAATATACACTGGTTACACTCCGATTATCGTTTCGATGGCGTTTTTAGGTCGGTCGACTGCAAGTAGCTGCTTCCATTTTTGCCGCCACAAGTCTGGTTGTGCCGCTAAAGTGTCATAGTCCAAGAATTCTTTGTCTAATAGCAGAACAATAACAAACGTTAATCACGTTAATGACCAGCAAAACACACAACATTCAAAATCTTGTCCTTGTCAAACTTTTGCTGTTTTAAACACTTGAATATTGAAAGTCGAAAATCGAACATTACATTTGCTTTCAAAGTGGAAAAGTGAGGTTAGGGTGTATAATGTATATTCATCAATGACTAAAGAATACAAGGATAAATAGCACCCGAGACCAAACTGTGACCATTCTTCCAAACAGTGCCGTGGCACATATTTTACTTAACATTGCCGCTTGAAGGGATATTTATATTTTTGATATGATATGTTTTCACTACGCCTATGGTGTATCGGGTGGTATCATACTAATTAATTACGAAAAAAAAGTATTAAAATGTTAACAAAAGGTACATAACTAGCATCGACGTATAGTACATATCAAGTACATATAATATCAGAAAAATAATTATCGAATTCAATAAAAAAAAAACGCTAAAAAGGTGTAGGGGACTGTTTATTTCCCTATAAAACGTAATTTCTGGCTCTTTCTTATCATTGCGCCTTTTACACTTGAAAGGTGAACAAATTACCATTTTAATAAAGTTTATACAAAGTGCACTACACACAACCAACTATTAAAAATCGCTAAAATTGTCGCTGATGACCAGCTGATGATTCATTCATTATGTCTAAAAAGTTGGCGTCTAAGGTCACAAATTCTGCTGCAGTCCGTATATGGGCGTTACATGTCCTTGTATTCTTTAGTCATTGATATTCATCCATCTTCTTCTTCTTCTTTTTTGTTTCGTTTTTACTTACTTAATGATCATTACTTTTTAAAAATTTTCGGCCATAATTTCGGGGGGGGGGGTTGAACCCCCAAAACACCCCTCCAGATACGGCCCTGCTATAAGTGCATGCGTTCTCAATAGGCAGTGTTGCCATTCTGTTCCCCTATAAGTAATTGTTCAGTTAACAACCTGTATATACTTCTAGTGTGTTTTTATGCTTTTAACACATATAATCAAAAATAGTATAGGCACTAGAGGTGGGCAAAGATTGAAAATAAGACAATTAAAAATGAATCGTGAGATTCGATTCATTGATTCACGGATCCACAAGATTTGAATGATGCGCTGTAAAAAAGAATCGTGTGTCGTGTGAATCGATGCGCTGTAAAAAAGAATCTCCTACTTGTAGAGGGCGCCTCCACATATTTTTTAAGTGGTTTGAAGAGTAATAATTTTTCGTCCGTACCTGTATAAGACTAGTGAGTAAAAAATATACATTTACGACGTTTTTTATGTAAAAAAGGTCTCTTGGTAAAAATCGCTATGAATAATGGTTTTCGAGATATTTGGAATCAAAATTATCAATACCTGTCATTATTGACATACATTAAACATGTTGACTAAAGCTTGTTTCATATAGACGCGAATTGCGAAAAGCGATTCGCCAAAACATATTCGCAAAATTTGGACCTATTTCATACAGTCGCGAATTTTTAGGGACATTTCATTTTTGCTCCACTGAAAGTTACCAAAAAAAATCATAACCTGAGATAACTTAATTTGTTTTATACATATTTATTCGTGTTTACGATCTTTATTTTAGATTTTATAGCATACAATATGAGTTTAAATTTGTTTAATGATTATGAATATCGATTACGATTGTGGGATTGGAACAGAATAAGGTGCAAAATTGCCATTTACTTATTGTTAAAACGTAGAAGAGAATATAATAGCACAGGTTTATAGGTCATTTATGGGTCATTTGGGACATGTGAAATATTTAAATTTCATAAGCAATAAGATGCTTATCGCAATTTAATTCAAGAAATAAGGACAAAAGATGAGAAAAAATTTAGGAATTTTTACAGATTGTCTGTACAGGAGTTTGATAACTTGGTTGAAAAATTGTCACCATATATATCAAAAACATATTATGCACGAGAACCTATTTTAACTGGAGAAATGCTTTCAATTACTTTGCGGCAGCGTCGTCAAAATAATCGATAACCGGATCACAACACCATTCTGCGCAAACGCGAAACTTAAAATCGCGTGAATATCCGCAAAAAGTTGAAAACACTTTAACTTTCCCGCCCCCCAAATTTAAATCTTGCGAATCGCTAAAATCTTTAAAAAACAAGGTTTAAATAGTAGACTGAAATCATAAATTTGAAATGTTTTTTTGCCAAAAGTTCAACACAAACTGTTTTATCATCATTTTTTCTAAGAAGAATTTATGATTAATTAAAAAAAAATAAGTTGTAAATTCCCAAATTTATAATTTCAACTATATCTACTCAACATGTTTATTTTTAGTCAATAATGACATGTATTTACTATTTCCATTGTAAATATCTTGAGAACAGTTGATCATAGCGATTTTTACCAAGACACATTTTTTACCAAAAACAACATAAATAAAAATGAAACTTCTACATCCTGTATCTTCGGAACTAAGCATTTTTAGGACATACATTTATGCGAACTTTTTTACTAATTTTTATCTGTAGAATATGCTGCCGAAGTTTCCGGAATACAGTTCGGACCACCCTGTATATTAGAGGTGCATAGAATAACACATCCTTTCTGATTTTAGAAACATATGACATACTTTTTTTTTAAATTTGATAAAAAATATGAGGTGTCCGGTGGCGTAGAGGTAGAGGCTCTCGTCTACCAATTTCAAGGTAGTGGGTTCGAATCCTACACCCGGCGTTTCATCAGCCGACTATTTTTATTAAAATAAAAATAGTTTGGGTACCTAGGTCGACTCAGCCTTAAATGAGTACTTGGGATTCACAATCCTGAGGTAATAATAGGCGGTTGACGCATAGTGCGAGCCACATTACCTTCCATGTATACCGAACGGCTCTAGCATGGCAAGCTGTACCTGGCTACTCCCAAGGCGTTAAACGCTAAATACGGGAGCTATTATTATTATTATTATATATAAAAAATATGTAGTGGACACTCTTAAATTGTTTCATGGAAATGACTAGAGTGAAACTATACAGTATTCTAGAGGCCCTATTGTTAAAATAATGTTATCTCGTGTTTTAGTAATATCAGAAGAAAACAAACAAGATTCGCCATCTAGTGCTGCACATATTTTTAATGAAGTTATGAATATGACTTCAATGGAAGGACTTAAGAGTTCAATCAAGCCAATTAGTAAGTAAAAATAAGAACATATACTTGTTGATAGTTACTGTTCTATCAAAGCTGATTAAGCAAATATTTGCTGCTTTATCAAAATATTTATTTAAAGAACAGAACTGATAATGGAACTGGTGAAAAAAAATAGAACATTCTATTAAATATAAATTCCCATATTTACTTAATTATACCAAATATTTTTCATATTATCTTTGGGAAATTAAAATAACTTTGGTTGCACATCATAATACGACCACCAGCAAACTCCATAAGACGACGCATGGTGTCATTGATGACGTGTAACCAAAGTTGTTTTAATTTCCCTTCTTCTTCTTATCACGCCCTCTCCTGCCGAAGGTTGGCGATCAAAATGGCAATTGTGGCTCTGGAAACTGCAGCCCGGAAGATTTCCGCAGACGAGCGTTCAAACCATCTCCTCAAATCTTTTAGCCATGAGTTCTGGCGTCTTCCTACTGATCTTTTCCCTTGCACTTTGCCCTCTATTATGAGGCGCAGTATTTCGTATCTACCACCTCTCATCACATGACCCAGGTATTGCATTTTTCTTTCCTTGATGGTGTTCAGTATCTCTTTTTGTTTCTGTATGCGCTGGAGTACTTCATTGTTGGTGATCCTTTGTACCCATGAGATTCGCAGCATCCGTCTGTATATATATACATTTCGAAGGCTTCTATTCTCTTCTCGGTCTGTGAATCCAGTGTCCAGCTCTCACATCCATAGAGTAACACAGAGAAGACGTAGCATCTGGCCATTCGAATTCTGAGATCCGCACTGAGGTCTCTTCTTGTAAAAAATGATTTCATTCTCACGAAGATTTTTCTCGCTTGCTCAATTCTTGAAAATATTTCTCTTTTCGGGTCGCACTGACTATTGATGTTAGCTCCTAAATACTTTATTGAGGTCACTTGTTCGATTGTTTGTCCCTTGACACGCAGATGTGCATTTATTGGAGTCTTAGAAAAGAGCAATAGTTTGGTCTTGGATACATTGAGATGCAGTCCAAACATCTCACTATAGTGGACTACGGAATCTATAATGCTTTGCAGTTCTTGTATATCGTTGGCTATTATAACCGTATCATTGGCATATCTGATATTGTTTATTGGGATTCTATTGAACTTGATTCCGCCCTGGATTCGATCCAGTGCTTCTCTAAATATAGTCTCCGAGTACAGGAACAGGAGCGGAGACAAGACGCAACCCTGCCGAACACCCCGTCTGATTTGTATATCTTCCGATGATGACTGCTTCATCTCAACTACCGCCGTTTGATGGCAATAAAGTTCTGATATGAAACGTAGGTCTTGTTCGTCAACTCCGGTTGTTCTTAGAATTTTGATCATCTTCTGATGATTAACACAGTCGAACGCCTTACGATAGTCTATGAAGCATGCAAATACATTCACATTCGTGTCTCTACACCTCTGTCATTACATTTAGGGAGAAGAGTGCTTCACGCGTTCCGAGTCCGTTTCTGAAGCCAAACTGGGTGTTGTCCATCTGATTTTCGCACTTCTTGTAGATTCGAGTGTGGATGATTCTAAGAAAGGTTTTGAGGACATGGGACATAAGACTTATCATCCGATAGTCATCACATTGTGAGGCGTTGGGTTTCTTTGGCAGGGTTACGAATGTTGATTTAAGCCAATCTGACGGTATTTTGCTTGAGCTATATAATTTGTTTTAACAGCTATATAATGCTGTTACCAAATCTAGACTTCTGCTTTCGTTATCTGCAATGAGTTTAAGTATTTCAACGTTTATTTTATCGGGATCGGTAGCTTTTCCGCTTTTCTGCGCTTTTATTGCATGAACAACTTCGTCTTTGGTTATTGCTGGAGCCTTTTCATTCAGTATGTGATCTATCGGTGGTGGGGAATAGGGTCTGTCATCATTAAAAAGTGTTTCGATATATTCTTTCCATCTCACAAGCTTAGCCTTTACTCCTAGAATTATCTCGTTGTTATCGTTTCTTAGGATTGTTTCTTGGTGTTTTCTGTGTCTGTTTGTAAATTCTTTCACTTTTTTATGAACATTGAAGGTGTCATACTTTGCTTGTAGTTGCTCTATTTCTTGACATTTTGTTGACATCCAGATCTCTTTCTCTTCACGGCACTTTTTCCTAATGATCCCATTTAAACGTTTGTATTCTATCGGGTTTGCCTTCTGCTTCCGTCTGTCATCCATGAGGTCTAGTATTTCCTGTGTCATCCATTCCTGCTTTAATTTCCCTTATCTATAGATTATTCGAGATTTAATATAGTATTTTTTCAAACATTTTTTAAAACATAATTTCTCTACTCTAATAGACTAGTATACTTTATCGTCATTTTAGAAGTGTGGTCTGGATTTTAACGTGTAAGACAGTGATGTAGGCAGCTTAATGGAAAATCAAATGTATTAAAAAGATTTTTCCAAACATTTTTTAAAACATTACTTCTCTACTCTAATAGAAATACTAGTATACTCTATCGATTCGGCCATTTTAGAAGTGTGGTCTGGATTTTAACGTGTAAGACAGTGATGTAGGCAGCTTAATGTAAAATCAAATGTATTAAAAAGAGATAAAAGTTGGGATGATACATTACTATGCGGTATTGGCCGATTTTGAATCAAAAGTTCAAATCGCACAAGTAGGCGTTTATGGAAAATGTTGCATCTAGGGTTGGAACCTTATTTTTCACAATGACTTGCTCATTTTACTAGAGATGTAATATATTATATTTAGCTTAGATATATTATCTTCATTTCAGTAGTATACATGAAAGTTTTTAAAACAGTTTCTTTTTTTTCTACACAAATTTTCCTACAAACGTAAAAACCGGCAACACTGTATGCCGCTTTTGATTTTGTCTCTCTGTCTGTCAACCAGTCATTTATATTGTTCTCTGTCTTACACGTTAAAATCCAGACTACACTTCCAAAATGACCAAATCGGTATACAATATATTACTAGATAGTATAGAGCAGGAATCTCTAGGCAATTTTTCCGTAAAATTTCTACTAATATTTATAAAATTATAAGTTTGTGTCCAAGTATGTATACATATACCGGGTGCGTCTTAAAACTGGCTCACTCCTATAATTTTTTGATTTTTTTCAGATAAAACAACGAGATTTGGTATGTTAGTATATGACATAAATTAGGATTGATTGACATATTCAACTGTTTTCGCTCACTTCCGGTTTCACCGGAAATGACTACAACTTTTGGATTTTAAATGGCACCCTTGGTATTTTTTTACTTTATTCGATAGAAAATGACACTCTGAATAGAATGACATATCATATGTTAACTTTTGTCATTTTCGCATATAGTTTATTTGACATTATAGCTTGCGGTGCATAACGACAATTGACTCGAAATACTAAATGTGTGGTATCAAATTATTCGTAAAAAAATACTTTTTTCAAATATGCTAATGAGTCACCCTCGTTCCATTTGACAAAATTGAGATATGATTAAAAATACGATTTGGGCATTTTTTAACCGGTCAGGACAAGACACTAAAAACATTAGACGATACAATTTGTTTTTGAGCGAATATGTCAAATGTTGACATATTATATGCATTCGATTCAGTGTTATTTTCTATCGAATAAAGTAAAATACCGACGGTGCCATTTAAAAAGCAAAAGTTGTAGTCATTTCCGGTGAAACAGGAAGTGGCCGAAAACAATTCATTAAGTCAATCAATCCTAATTTATGTCCATATACTAACATACCAAATCTCGTTCTTTTATGTGAAAAAATAAAAAAGTTATAGCGGTTAGCCATTTTTGAGATGCACCCGGTATGTTTATGAAACGTCACAACATTGCAAGATATAAATATAAACTTGTCGTTGTATCAGTAAATATTTATATTACATATTTTTATATTTTTATTTTCGAGTTTCTCTGAGTTAACACGTTTCTTTTCATATTTATTGGATTATACAACTCTATGTATATTTTCCTATATAAATGGATGTGATTAATAAGTGATTATTGCTTGGTGGCCATATTGTAATTGTCATTTTTTGAAATATTAATTCAGAACACAAAACATCCCCCTTTAGAACTTCATCTATCATGTTAAGAAATGAAAGTAAATAATAAAGCGCCCCTCTCGTGTTTGTTCGCACTCAAAAAAATCAATTAATGCCTGTATATATTTTTAATATATTTTTAAATTTTTTTTAATTGTAAAGTAACATATTACATTTAAATGGAATATATTACCTAACGATTATGTCAATTACAGGATTGCAAGATTGTTTTCTAATATTTTTTAAATAAAACGAATTATAAAATTTCAATATATTGTTACGGATTCCGTGGGTCCACTAATTTAAACTCACGATAAAATACTTAACGAATTTATTTTCTCACTTTATACACAATTACTAACTTATAACACACAACAAACTAACTATTTATAAGATTCCTTCACCAAATTGTCCGATTTTCAATTTCCACGCGGTATATTCAAATTTCAAAAACTGTAAACTTCTCCAACTGTCGTAAGCGCTCCTTTTATATAGCTGTGGTGAGTGTTTCGCGAACAATCTAAAATTATCGGGACGGGTCCGCCATCTACTAGTACATTCTATTGTCTGCTTCGCTTACTTGTCGACTTGATTAAGAGATGGCGCTACAACAAAATATTGTCTTCAGGTTTCTGGACACGTTGCGGTTTTAGTTGCTCGCTTCTCCGACAGATGGCGCCACATACACCTTGACATTGCCCCCTTCTCAAATTTGATCGTCCCGATCAAGGTTTCCTGTCTGGTATCTCTTCAATCGATCCAGATGAACTACTTTCATCTTACTTCTAGGGCTGCGTTGAATCCGGTACACTACATCATTTATCCTCTTGATGACTGTATAAGGACCTTCCCATGCTGGAGTTAACTTTGGGGACCTTCCTTTCTTGCGCTGTGGATTATACAACCATACTCTATCGTCCTGTTGAAATCCCGTAGAATTAGCTCTGAGGTCGTAACGAGCTTTCATCCGGTCACTGGCTAGCGTAATCTTACTTCTCACGGCCTTATGAATTCCCAATAATCTTTCCTTCCTAACGACTCTTTCGAACGACCGTCCAACGTTATCTTGTTCCATTTTTCCTCCAGATCGAGTACTTGGTCCTTGTCTAGCTGCGCAAATCTTACAACGTTGACACCATTTCTTAACATCTTCACAATAATCCACCCAGTAAAAACGGTCTCTCAGCTTGCTCAGGGTCTTGTTTACCCCAAGATGGGCTCCAGTTTTACCACCATGAATTTCTTCTAATACCTGGGTAACTTTCTTCCTTGGTACCAGTAACTGAGTTGTTACTGTCCTGCCATCCGCACTTTCCCACGTGCGCTTTAACAATCCATTCTCAATCACCAGTGAATTCCACTGAGCCCAGAGAGCTTTGAAAACTAGCCCTCTGTCCGCAATATCCTGCCACGGTGGTCTCTCGCCGTTACCTTCCTTGAGCCGTAGTATTGCTCCGATGTCTGGATCTTCCATTTGATCTTTCCTCAATTGTATCGTCGTCCATGGTTCGTCAGTTCTAAGCTTAAAATTCCTTATTCTTATAGTGCTTTCGCGATGTTTCATTTTCTTGTCCAAGGTAGCTCGTCGTCGATCTAGGTCGTTGTCGATAATTTGTACCCGTCCTACACGGCACCCAGCGGTTTTCTCTAGTTTCCCGAACACAGTCTTCTTGGTATCACCAGGTATCATCACAATTTTCGATGATCTTTCTTCCATATTTCCTGGTCTCTTTTCTTTAGATACAGAAAATTCCTCATTTCCGATTTTCAGGATGTTTCTATGGTGATCGAACGAAAAACCATGTTGACTGATCACATCCATACCCATGATAAAATCATTTTCAATGTCTGCCACTAAAACGCTATGCCGAAACTTCAAATTCCCTAACTCCAGTTCTATGAAAGCCTCTCCCCGTACAACGGCCATATCCCCCGTAACTGTACGTAAATACACTCTTCTTCTAAGAGGCATCATCTTCAATCCTTGCACTGAGTTAGTCCGCACCAACGATACCATAGCGCCTGTGTCCACAGTCATTCGAATTCTTCTACCATTGACCTTCCCGTTGATCACCAAACTGTCAACGGTTTTTCCTAGACTCCTAACGGAAAACATCCTAGGGGCTCTGTTTTCTTCAGCCAATACTCGCTCATTAGTGTTGATTTCCTGGTGCCTATGTTCTCTCGATGGTAAACGGAATCGCATTTGATGTGGCCATTCCTGCCACATCTATAGCAACTTATGTCCTGGGATCTTCCGATGTGCCGATGTTCTCTGGATGGTGAATGGAATCGCATTTGGATGCGACAATCCCGTTTGATGTGGCCATTCCTGCCGCATCCATAGCACCTCATATCCTGGAATCTTCTCTGGTTCTCTGTCTGGGTGTTGTTGACTCCCTTGTTTATTAGTAGCTCACATAGTTTGTCGACTTTCTTACACATCTCCTCCAAACCTCTGTGAGTGCTTTCGGGCTGTTCCTCGACCGTTACCGATCTTATCTTCGGCCTAGGGATGGCGCTAAAGGCAGCTTCGATTTCCAGCGCCCTGACCAGTGCTTCGCTGCTGGTGGAAAATCGGGATATTTGCAGCGCCCTCTGTAATTCGTTGTCCCTCAGTCCGCTGATAAAGCACTGAGCAGCGAGTTCCTCCCTAAATCCTTCCGGTGCTTCTGGATATGCCAGGTGTACCAGCCGACGTAAGTCTGCTTCAAATTCCTGCAGACTCTCTCCGGACCTCTGCAGGCGTGTCTTGATCTGTGCCTGGTAAAGTTGGCGTCGATGTTGGTCGCCATATCTTCTGTCCAGTGCAGCGACCAAAGTTTGATATTCCTGCTGTTGGGCTGCAGGAATAGTTTGCAGGAGTTCCAGGGCAGGGCCACGCAGCGCGATGACAAGTGCCGCTGCTTTCTCCTGGTCAGTCCATCCATTGGCAGCAGCCGCTGCTTCAAACTGGCGGTGGTACATCGTCCAGGTGGTTTGTCCATCGTAGGTCGGGGCCTTGAGGTTCGCAGTTCCATGAACGCCAGGTGTTCTTACTTGTGCCTTGGTCTTCTGTAGGTCCATCTCTAATTTTTCCATTTTCTGCTGAAGGCGTTCCTCAAGATCTTCTACGGCTTCTTGAAGGTGATTTTCCTGCCGTTTTTCCAGGTCTTCAAAATTCTTCTGTAGTCGAAATTCCTGATTTTCCAAAGTTCTCTTAAGACGGTCCTGATCTTCTTGTCTTTCCCTGTGACGTCGCTCCTCCACACGAATTTCCAAATTTCCTAATATTTTCTCAAGCCGGTCCTGTTCTTCTTGTTTGTCTTGTTGTCGTTGTATTTTTAAATCTTCGAAAATTTTCTCAAGCCGGTCCTGTTCTTCTTGTTTGTCTTGTTGTCGTTGAATTTTTAAATCTTCGAAAATGTTCTCAAGCCGGTCCTGTTCTTGTTGACGTCGTATTTTTCCTCTTCCTTTTCTCTTTCTAATTTCTCCATAAAATCGCCCAATAATTTGCTTACTTCCTCCATTTTCTTCGCTTGCTGTCTCGTACCAACCATAAAATTCCCAAATTCGGTGTAAAAATCGTCCAATCCACTTAATTTCTTCTTAAAATCCTCTTGAATCCCACTTCTGACACCAATTGTTACGGATTCCGTGGGTCCACTAATTTAAACTCACGATAAAATACTTAACGAATTTATTTTCTCACTTTATACACAATTACTAACTTATAACACACAACAAACTAACTATTTATAAGATTCCTTCACCAAATTGTCCGATTTTCAATTTCCACGCGGTATATTCAAATTTCAAAAACTGTAAACTTCTCCAACTGTCGTAAGCGCTCCTTTTATATAGCTGTGGTGAGTGTTTCGCGAACAATCTAAAATTATCGGGACGGGTCCGCCATCTACTAGTACATTCTATTGTCTGCTTCGCTTACTTGTCGACTTGATTAAGAGATGGCGCTACAACAAAATATTGTCTTCAGGTTTCTGGACACGTTGCGGTTTTAGTTGCTCGCTTCTCCGACAGATGGCGCCACATACACCTTGACAATATGTATATTTGTCATAGGTGTGAAAAAAGTAAAATATAAAATGGACAAACGCTTACTTACATTGCAATAAAACGTCCACATTTAGTTTTGCAATCCAAACGCAATATTTCTATTTCACAAATAAAAATATCCTATAACACTAAAATCACTGAAACTTCCGCGGCTGACATCGAAAACTGAAAAATATAACGGCACTTTTTGTTTTGGACCTGCATATCAACATTACGCTGTACTATTATGTGTTTGTTGTTGAAATAATATAAAATATCTAATTATAACGTAAATTTTAATATTTTAACATGATTTTAACTACTTTTGACAATAACTAACTTTTTGTTATCAAGATGACATTTTAGACGGCAACTGACATATATGTCATAATATTTGAATTTTAAATATGTATGTAATATAATTTAAATTACTATAATGCAACTTTATACTAAGAAAACATTTATACATTCACAAAATACAACAAAGTCTAATAATATAGTTTGTAAACAATGAATGTTGAAATAAAATTGAAAAAGTTAAGCGCGACCCCTTGTGTCAAAATTAGATGATTAAATTTTCGCAATTTTTACACCATTTGATGACCGGTGGCGCCTGTAGTGTTTGGTTCGGGCGGTTGGTCTTTTACTCCCGCTTATGGCCGTTAAAGAAAAAGTTCTAAGGGGGATGTTTTGTGATTCAGAAGTCTTTTATCTTATCTTTAAACAAAATAACCCGTCAATTCTTATTACAAAATGGCAAAAGAAAGTAATTATTACAATAAAAATGTTTAAGATAAGAAGGATATATGCACTTTATTTCGTTGTATAATCTTTTGAATACAACTCGATGTTTCGGGATTACCTAATACTTTTACCTGACACTCAATGCGATACCGGCAACACTACGCCTTTGTATTATTCGGTAATCCGGAAACATCTTGTGGTATTATATTGGAAAATTATTACATTATCTTTTTAGGTGACGCTACCGAGCGTACGCTGCACAATATAAAAGACCTGCAGGAAACCACGGTACATAACGCTTTGCACAAGATCGGAGATTTCCAGGTAACTCATACACAAAGAAAGAGAGTAGACTCTCTAAACTACTTACACTACTTGCCACCAAATACTCTTATGCATTCTTCCGTTCTATCCAACACTCAACGTCTTCTTCACGCTCGGCGAGAGGTATGTGGATTCTATTGCTGATCGTATCGGATGGGGCTTGATGAGTGGATTTGCTCGGCTTTTGAATGGCGCTTTGGGTGTCTGAATGTTTTTTAATACTGTATGGTCCTAAATAAATGTATTTAAGGAGATAGTGAAAAGAGTGCGTGAATTTAAACTATGTTCTGTTTTATTACAAATTATTGTTAATATGTTCTGCTTGACGCAAATATGGTAATCGCAAAACAATTTTCGATGCACGTGATCAACTTTGGGCGACAAGCGATGGCGACAGCGCTGTCAGATTGTGATGGATTTATGAGATGAATCGTAATTTAAAATTGACAAACAATTAATATATTTATTATATAATTTTTTAAAGACTTTTTAATTTAATTTTTAATTTAATAACTAATATTTTAGTAATTAATTGATTTATTTGTTTTATAGCTTATATTCCTTATTACATATTGGCAAAAACTAGTCCATTATAAAGATTATTCTAAGCGTTATTATGGGTTATTTATTTATTGATGTACATCTTACAACGCCTTAAGTGGTAATAACAAGTAAGAGGGTGCTATTAATGCACAAACAGAATTTAATAAAAACTAATTTTGAAAGTGGTATAATGTGCTTATCAATCAAACTTACTTCTCTGATTGCACTCAAGGGTAATAAAAGACCTTTATTGTCACGTTCGCGTTCAAATTGTTTATCAGGGAAGCTACAAGCTCTGTTTGGACTATTTAAATGCTTCGGCATATTTTCAACACACAATTTCAAGAAATGCAATACAAAACTCTAAAATTTAGTTCTTAAAACAAGTGTTTGAGCTTAAAAGTCCAATTTTTTAGAAAAAGACTATGAAAATATAGGCAAAAAAACGAGAATTACTCACAAAGATTCAAAAAACACGATTTTTTTTTCCTAGGCATCAATCACCAGGATCATTAGCCATATACAACTCGTTATTGTTAACAATAATGCAATTACAGAGATCTATCTCAATATCCTCAAGGGATTCAATCTTACAAGGGCGATTCAAAATTTATAAAACTACATTGACATATACATTTCAAATTGAGTGACAAAAGGATAAAAAACTAAACACCAAAAAAAATAGACAACAAAAAACAAACAATAAGAAAAATAGGTAATTGTTTACATCACAGTATCACAGTTGGATTTGGGTATCACAGACGAGTATCACAGTTGGTGGTATATATTAATATCTTTCATAAATTTCAAAACATTTTTAATTTTTTCTACTTCAGTTAAATTATTACGAATTTCACCACGTATATCGAATCTATTCCTTTCCACCGTATATTGAGGACATTCATATATAATGTGAATTACTGTCAACTCAACATCACAGACTATACACATTGGATGTATTTCTCTGTTAAGCAGATATGCATGAGTCACCGCAGTATGCCCAATACGAAGACGATGCACTCTGGATTCATCCGCTCGTCCTAGTGCAAGACGTAAGGATGGGGTTGACGGATCCTGTTTTATTGCGCAAAGCTTTGAAGGTGTACCTGCCCCATTTATTAGGAAGAACAGATATCACATTGTGCATTTTAACCCGATCAAACAATCGGAGATTGACTACGTACTGTAAAAACCAACTGAGATAGAGAAGGCGACATTGCCACATCTCAAATTTGGGCCTATCTACTTAGTTTGATTTGCAGAAAAGGTGACTTTAAAACCTTCACCGGATATCAATAAATCTCAATTTCTTAATTAAATTAATAGTTTATTTTTAAAAAAGCATGCGTAATAATATGTTATTAACCAGAGGATATATGCGTTACTATTAAAGGACATGTTTACTGTTTAATGTGCTGAAACGTCTAGAACTATTGGCAACGTCGCTGCTAGTCTTCCAGAATGAAAAAGAGCCGTCCGTCCCACCACCCCTCGCGACGGCCCTTGGTCCGTTATAGCGTATTACGTTTAGCTTGCGGTGTGTTTGAAGTCGGAATCAAGTCCGAAATGAACTTTTCAGTGTTTTTCAGTAGTTTTTTTGTTTAACGTACTTTTGAATCTGCGAATTTTCAATATGATACGACAGTGTCAAGTGTGTGGAAAAATAAGCTCAAATTACCCGAATTTGTTTTTTCACAGGTAGGTACAAATTTCCGCCGTAATTGTACATAGGCGTCCCACAAGGGAGCCCCTTACAATTAAAATAATTTCTAATTATATTTGTTGAAATTTGATCTATTAAAACAAGAACGTAGTAACCGGTAATTGAATTATAATTCGTCTCAATTACTACCTAACTGTTGTAGATCATAACAAATTTGAATATAAACGTTGCATTTGAAACTTTATTATAAGCCAGAAAGTGACATTTTTTTTTTCTTAAAATTGCGTCATATTTTGGTCATTATATACGATATTCTAAAGGAATTTTGCTCAACAAATAAACAAAGGTGTTTACCCGACCTTTTTTACATTTTACTGCTTTATAATATCTGCCCCTTCGGCCTTGTTTAGTTATTTGTACGGTGTGTTTACCTTTTTTTAGAATGGGACGAACTGTAAATAATTTTTAGGCTACTAGTTTTATACATACCTATATACAGAGTGACCCAGGCCTCCAAAAAAGCTTTTTACCTATTACGTTTTTGGTTTGTGATTTTTGTTTCAATTTTTTATATAAGATGGAGGCCATTGTAACGCACATTTTCAAAATATTTTTGTCAACATACAGGGTGATTCAAACCGCAATACATATGCTTAATACAGTTCATGAAGATTGAGACATTTAACTAAAATTTGATTGTCTGATGAAGCTACCTTTAAAAGTAATGGGTTTGTAAATAAACATTATAATTAATAGTAAGTAATATTCATTATTATGCGACAAAAATCCCATACTGTAGCACACAGATTTGATACTTTTAATGACAAATGCCTTCTATTGAGAGACTAAAAGGTAATTGCCTCGTATCAGAGCCATCATAATACAAGAAGAAGACCGAAAGAGTCATATCTTGTCTTATATTTTCAAAAAAAACACAATTTTCTCATTAAATATTGATTTTAGGTATAGGAAGTTATTAATAATACAAGATTAAACAACTATTACAGAGTACTTCACAGGAAGCTATCGATTGCGAACTAACTAAATCGGTACTAATTACTAATTTTGAAAAGTTCCTTTTAAGATCAAAAAAGGTAAAACTAAAACCTAAACTATCATTTGAGATTAAACGGGAAGTTCTAAATAATGTTGCCTATTCTAAACAAGAAAAATTTATTTATAAGTTTTATAACATCTCTAATTAAATTTGGACGAAAAGAATATTTCTGTTTGCTGTAGGTAATTTTCTCAGGGAAAATACGTAAATAAAAATGACTTTTTAAGTCAAAAAGTCAAAAGGACAAGTTATTCCAAAAAAGGACTGTCCTTTTCAAAAAAGGACAGGTGGCAACCCTAGGTATTTCTGGAATGGAAATTTAATGGCAAATCTACAACTTTAGTTTGAAAATATGTTCCGGCCACCTATGTTTACAAAAATGTCTAAAATATGCTTTACCATTGCCTCTATATTCTGAAAAAAAATTGAATGAAAAGTCCTAATATAGAACTGTTTCAGAAACTTGAGTCACCCTGTAAATATTCAAAAGTAACTGAAAGTTTATATAGAAGTAACTGAAAGTTTAAATTGAAAATCGACGTTGGAGCGATTTTCGAAAACTACCTACTAACGTTTCAACATAAGTATATATGGGATATTAATTATATTATTATATTAGACCTTATAACAAAACTCATCTGACGAAAAAGTGTTAATGTAGTATATTAATATGAGTAAAAATTTTACTAATTACTTTTACTTTTACTTTACTAATTAAATTCTTTCAAAAACGACGACGCCACTGGCCATTAGAACAATCCAAATGCGCCTAGTTGCCGGGGTCGGAAATTTTAGACTTCTCTGTCTCTTCTGTCCTTGTTTGACACGTTGGAATGTTTGATACACTTCCAACGAGTATTTATGAATGAGATGTTCGGTCTATCTTTATAATGTCTTTGACCTGCCCACTCATTCTGCCATTCCCTTTCTGTTCTTTTATGCAGTAGAACTTTAAGATCATATTTACTAATATAATGGAAATCAATGGTATCTCTTCTAGCAGCTTGCTGAGCAGCTTCATCTGCCATTGTGTTGCCAAGTATATTAGTGTACCAAACCAAACCAAACCAAACATTTTTGCCAAAATTTCATTTAGTCAGGTTTATAGACTTTAATGTCAATGTCGATATGATTGATGACGTGCATCGGATAATGTTTTGCGATTACAACAGACAGTTTATTATTGTTTTTTTTATAATGTAATTTTTTAATAGTTTCTACATGATGCCACTTAACTGACTCAATTCGTTTTTTTTTTCTGTCAAGACCTGTGAAGTTTCTAAATTTGAATAGTATTTGTACATATTTTGTTTCAGGATTCTACATATATGATATATTTTATGAATGATTTTCTATAACTGAAAAAGAAGCAGCAACTTTTATTGTATTTTAAAGTACCATACAATCGAAAAAAATGGCATCGACATTTCCAAGCGAACTGCGGACGTCATTTTTTTCGAATATACGGTATTTCCCATGGATAACAGCAGATTTAAAGTCAATATGCCATTTCATATCTTGCTTAATTATATTTATCTATGATCAATACAGTATTTGCTTTACTAACTCTCTTATTACTAAACATGTGTGATTAAAACTATTGATGATTATTGTGTTTCTTTAAGAAATAAATAGGTTATACTATTTGTATATGTTTTATTTATAGGTTTCACGACATATACATACATACTAAATTGAGAAGCATACATATTGTAAAAATATACATTTGTTGAATTAGTCGGATGAAACATGTAATATATATTAACTTTGGTTGCCAGCGGGAGGGTGTATTAAAAAAGAAACAAGCAATTAAAATTATTAATTAGATGTTCGGAACTAAAAAAAAACGGTGTCTGGGAA